AAAGCGTTCTTAGGTAATACTGAAGTTGACCCTGAACTTGATGCTGATGCTGAAGATGAGTTGCTCCGTCATGCTACTGATTTCATCCAAAACGATGATGATGAAGTGGAAGTAGACTTTACGTACATTATTCAAGCCTATCTTTCTAGCTACTTGATTGATAAATCTGGGTATGTACAGATGGAGCAGTTTCGTGAAGCGCCTCAAGTTATCAATTCATTCTTGAATTATTTGATCGCGCATGAAGTATGTCCAGAGTACATGGAAGATATGGAACGAGCTTTGAAAATTATCGAACGTGCGAAAGAAGAACTTCCAAAATGTAAATCATTAGCACAGCTTGCACCCGGAAAATTCAATAAAGCGTGTTCTTTAATATATGGTGGTGAACTATGTGGCTTATTCGATGATCCTTGGGACGGCGAGGAGAATGTTGCGAAATTGATTGGGATTTCCCTTTCTGAGGGGAAAGGAATTGTTGAAAAGGTTTTTGGGGAAGGTGCTTTGAAATTAAGTAGAGAAAAGTTGTTGACGGCACTAGAGGTTGAGGTTTTAGAAATCGAGTCAATTCGAGAAAACACCACGAAGACTGTCGATGAAAGTGCTACGGTTAAGAATATCAGCATTTCTCAGAATGGGCAGACGCAATTGGATGAGAATGTGACCGAATCGACGAGCACCAAAGATGTTAACATTTCTGAGAATGGACAAACACAACATGATGTAAAAGCTACAACTGAATCAACGAACACCAATGATGTCAGCATTTCTGAGAGCGGACGAACAACACGGCTTGACATAAACATTACAAACACGGAGGATGCCAGCGTTCCTGAGAATGGACAAGTACAACCTAATGATTTTACAACTGTGTCGACAGACACCAAGGACGTCAGCACTTCTGAGGGCGCACAAACACAAATGGATACGAGTGTTGAGGATGTCGGAATTTCCGAAGATGGGAAAACACAACATAATGTAAATGATGCAACTAAATCAACAGATGTTAAGGACAAAAGTATTTCAAAGACCGGAATAACACAGATTAATATAGATGAGGTGACTTCTCTACGAAAAATGATTGTTCGACCATTTAGAAATCTCGAAATAGAACCATTTGCTATTCATCTTGGTCCAGATGTAGCGAATTGTCCTATGCCCGGGATGCTGATAACTGCCGATTTTCACTGCTTGTCCAATGGTTGTTGGTATTGGGACCGTGTTACGAATGTATATCCTTCTTATTATCTGGCTGTAGATTCTGACGATGAGGACTAACTTTAAAAGATTGACATCAACCGAGGATCAACTATAGTAAATTCCAACATCATTTTCTATTAGCAAAATTTTTTGTGAATTCAATAAAACCTGCAGACTATATTGCGCACCATCCCTTGATTCCAAAAGTAAAATCAGTTATTGTAAATATTAACATGTATTTTGTTTTATTTCTCTTTTGATAATGTATAAAGGATATTAGAATAAATGAAAGTCTATATAGTATTACATCGAGACGTCTTTATGCGTATACCCATTGACGTATCATTGGATGATTTAAATATACCACATTTCAAACTTCCTCCTTTCTTCTTCATTGCCCTCGAATATAAAATTGATTAACTTTATTTCTTGAAACCCTTCGTCGAGTGTCGGTTCGCAGAATTTTGACTTGTAAACTTGAAATGAAACATCCGGTAGTAAAGTACGACCCTAAATATAGACATAAATTTTCGATTCAGAATCAATAGGCACTCTAAAGAAGTCAGATTTGTCATCAACTCACCAGGCCAGTTAAGCCGAAAACTCGGTACATATTATTATGCCTCGCTAAAGCCTCCGATACTTGGAACCAAAAACATCGAATGGGAACGCGATACTTATTTGCTAAATCAACATATACTTTCCTACTTTCAACAGTGGAATTTGTGCTGTCTATGGAAAAAACGGCATGAGCATGGTGATTAACATTTGCCAACTCGCATAAAATCGCCTACCTATAACAACAGACGTTTTTTTCTTCAGGGCTTCTTCACAAGCCTTTATGCATTTCGCCTTAGTTTTGAGTGTATCCTAAACAAAATTTTAAGACTCAATTGGAAATGAAATAATAATAAAAAAATAATAATAATGATAATAATAATGAAGCAGTTCTATACCTGATTGATGTGCGTATATCCATTATTTATCAGCTGTTTTCTAGCGAACGTCGTTTTTCCGCTTGCAGGAAATCCGACGAAAATTATTATTTCATGTTCATTCGATGTAACAAGTGGTGGAGAAGCCGGGACTAACAATGGGACTAAAAGTGTAATGGTCGTAACTCATTAATGAAACAGTAAAAATAGTAAATGTATGATATTACGCACCATCGCTTGGGAGTTTCTTGGGATCAAACCCTTCACTATAAGAGAAAGGCATCGCTATCTTATCATTGTCGAAAAATTCTTCAGGGGTATAAAATTTAAGTCCAATATTTTCAGCAAATTTTCTGAAAGATTTATGGATAAAGATCAAGAGTCATTAATTAAATTCAATTCGTTAACGCAAAAAAAAAAAAAAATCGCTAGAATAAATCTCTAAGCCCACCTATCTGTGTCTGACCAGTCACGCGATGCATTTTTCTTCCAATTATCCCCACGTCCGGCCGCGTCCCCCCACATAAAAACTTTTTTCCATGTCTATCAATTTAAGATTCATTCATGCGGTAAGAAGTAAATTCCTGAATCCACCAATTTGTTCATTGACGTACCTACGACACCGTCGTTTTTCGTTTTTAACAAAATATTCCCAAATTCCGATCATTGGTTTGCGATATTTGTCATGACCCGTAGCAACATATATATCAAACGGTACATTCAACTATAAATGGTTTCATGAAGT